TTTGCAGTGAATACAGAACATTAGCTGTATTTACTTTAGGATGAGCTAACAGCTTGAAAAATAACTTGGAAGCCAAAGCACCACGGAATCAATCTAATCAGAAAGGTTCTGAGACACGTTGAGACCTCTTTCCCCTCTTTGGAGGGAGGACCTGCCCTGTTTGCATAGCTCAGCATTTGGCAGTGCGCCACTGATGGAATCTGAGCGCTCAAGAGCAGACCTGCTTTTGTTTTGGGGAAAAACCCAGGGCGGACATCACAGACGCACGTTGACACGTTTATTGTCCGCAAACACCTGAGCGCGAGAGTGTGGGGCCGCAAAGACAGGGGAAGCGGTTGCTTCCTGCTGACCTCGGCATCCCTGCTTCCGCGCTCAAGACACGGGAACCTACCTGGATTCTACACGTAGAACCATGCGCGCTTCCAGGGTGAAAACAGTCTCTGCTTTCTTTGACATCTCTTCACCATCTGTGCTTTTTCTTGGCCGCCTGTGGCTATGTCCATCTGATGTTCCGTTGGACTGTCCTACACAAATATTTGTCATCTGTGTTTATTTTCCTACCCCTTGATGATATTTGTGTGTCCATCCCTCCAGTTGTTTGCCTCATGTGTGCACCATCTTATGCAAATGGCGTTTTCCCTTCCTATGTCTCTTAAACTCAGATCTATTCAGTAGGAGCTAACCCAAGCACGTGGTTACTTTCACACAAGCTTGGTGAAATCCCGCGCCCAAGCATTTACGCGGACATACCAATGATAACAGAGCTCGTTCACCTTTAATTCTCCTTTATTGTACGTAGACATCGCATATTCCCTTTTTTATTTGCATGCGGTGAGGTTATAGGGACTTCAGTGGAAGGGCAGGAAGGGACTTGCAAGCTACTAATTATGAGAAGGGGCCCCAGAGGACTGAAGGGAAGGGGATCTGAAGAAAGAGGAAACTCTGGGATTCCCATACAAATTCACACACTCGGGACAGACCCAATGAGTCCCCCGGAGCCCCTCAGAAATTTCTGAATCGCTCTCTTGTTTAATTTAGGCAGGATATGACAAGACCCATAACCTTTTTGTGTTTTATTTGATTGCCCAAAACTGTAAGGTAGGGTTAAAATCCATATATGATGCCCAAGAGAGAGGAAAGAATTCTTTCCAATTATGCTACCAAATGAAAATTCAAGACTTCTCCCGTGTATGCATAGAACCAGGCAGAACGTTTTGCTTATTAAATGAGGCCCTGCCTCCTTTGATTTTTCTAATAGCTGTGTCTGCACAAGGCGTGTGTCCAAAATTATTTGGGTCTTCCCCACTTGTACGTAGGAAATGCTATCAAGCAGAATGATAAAACATGAATTGTATACTCAGGTAGCCTTGTTCTTGTCTCCTAAATAAGACCACTCACCTTAGGACATTTAACTTCTATGAAATCTCAGCTCCGAGGAGATGTTAAGGGGTCTCAGAACACATGATTGGCTAGGGATAGAGTGAGTGTAAGGTCACTGACCCTAAAAGTCAACAGCAGACTCTAGGGTGTCCTTAAGCAACGATGGAGTGAATGACACAGGGGTTGCAATTCAGAGCCCTCCCTCCCTCATATCCTGCCTGAACTTGGAATCTCTGAGCTACGCTGATGTTAAGACCTAATTCACGAGGATGTTGGAATAATTAAATGAGGTAATGTCAATAAAATGTCGGACACATGGCGGCGGTTCAAGCATTGCTTTGATCAAAGAAAGAAACGTTTCCTTTCCAAGAAAAGAATTTGGTATATTACTTCAAAAATTGATTATCAGCCATGTACTGTAGGATTCCAACTCTATGACATTCTGGGAGAAGCAAAACTAGGGAGACAGTAAAATTATCCGTGGTTGCCAGGGGTTAAGAAGGGAAGAGAGATGAATAGGTGGACCACAGGGGAATTTTAGGGCAGTGAGAATACTCTGACACTGTAATGTCATTACACATCTGTCCAAACCCACAGAATGTACAACACCAAGAGTGAAACTTAAGGTAAACCATGGCCTCTGGGTGATGATGATGTGTCCATGTAGGTTCATCACTCATAAAGAATGTACCATCTGGTGGGGATGTTGATAGTGAGGGAGATTGTGCATGGGTGCTGGGGTGTAAGGGGCGTATGGAAAATCTCTGTATCTTCTGCTCAATTTTTAAAAAATTTTTGGTCACACTGCACGCGGCATGTGGGATCCTAGCTCCCCGACCAGGGCTGAAACCCGCGCACCCCTGCATTGGAAGATGGAGTCTTAACCACTGGACCTCCAGGGAAGTCCCTTTTCTGCTCAATTTTTCTGTGGACATAGAACTGCTCTAAAAAGTAAAGTCTACTAACAATAATAATAATACAGTTTATTATCTGTGAAAACTTTGACGTATATTGGAAAACGTTGTGTTGTACCCGATGCCAAGCGAGGTCCGGGACTCAACACCAGTCATTTTGCATATTTGTTGATTCATTGGACAAACTCGACCTAGGTGTTTATTATGGGATACGAACTCTGCGTGCAAGGCATACAAGACAGAAAGCCCTAAGGACCTATCCTATAACACAGGGAACTCTGCTCAGTGCTATTCAACAACCTAAATCGGAAAGGAATTTGAAACAGCATAGATGCATGTCTATGTATAACTGAATCACTTTGCTGTACCCCTGAAACTAACACAGCTTTGTAAATCAACTGTACTCCAATATAAAACAAAAAGTTAGAAAAAGAAAGTCCTCCATGCTTTCCTACATCTATGTGTAAAACAAACTCTAAATAAAATCACATATATTTTTAAAAGCAGCTTAACTTTTTGACTGTATGACTTTTTTTCCTCACCGTAACTGGTTCGATGACGCAATTCTGCTTCACCGGAAGGGATTTCTGTGTTCGACGGGCTTAGCATATTCAAATGTGTTCACTTCAATCTGATTGACTTGTGAATGAATGATGCTACTAAATACCATGTCGGTTACTCATGGGATATTCTATGAATTTCCCTGTGGGTCCCTGTGAGGCATAAAGAACAGGGGCCCATCTAGAGCTGAGTCAGGGGGACTGCCTGGCCGAGGGCTGAGGTCACGCAGGACAGAGAAACAGACAGGACAGGTGCTACGGTAGCTGAAACCCAGTCCCATTGCCCTCCCTCCACCGTAAGGCAGCTTCTGCATTTACTTTTACGGTCCCATCGTAAGTGCCGCTATTCCTGGTGTAAATATGCACCTCACTGCAGAGAACGGCCAGGTGTGAGGGCTCTGGGTGTGAAAAGTCTGAGACTACCCCTTGCGCCTGAGAAAGCGGATGGCCAGCAGACGCGGGGGTATGTGGAAAGCTTAGGTTCAGTAGACTTATTCTGTCCTTTATCTTGTTGGTCAGACGTTTCGTGCTATCTATTTATATCTATCTATCTATCATCTATCCATCTTCTAATATCATTAAGTGATTTGTCATCTACCTATCGTCCATCTTCTAGCTACCTATCGTCCATCTATGTATCTATCTACCTATCTGTCATCTCTGTATCTCCCATCTATTTACCTATTCATACATCCATTCTTCCATCCCACTTGTCCAGCCATTTATCTATCATATGTATCTGTCTATCTGTCATCTACCTCTATCTATCTATGTCTATCCCTATCTCTGTCTACCTATCTATCTATCGCCCTCTATCTATGTCTTATCTAACTATTTATCTGTAGAAATTCATGATATTTCCAAGTGACCACATGGACACAAACATGAAAAACCTAATAGCCACTGCATTTCCGAGAGAATGTGCTGTGTAGGATGCTTTTGCAAAGAGTTCACATTCTTTTCCCTTCAGGAAGTGATCAGAGCCCTTCAGCACGGAAGGCAGCTAAGCTGTGATTCCGTTTAGACTCAGTAAACAATTCCATGTAACTCTGCAAAAACAGCGAGTGAGTCTAGATTTCATGCACAACGTCACAAGATCTGGGATATGCATTAACTAGAGGCAATGATTAACTTAACATTTGTCTGATATAAATAAAATTTGCCATAGACCTTTTAAAAACATCTAGCTGTCGTTTCATCATCAAATTTTAAAATGACTCTCCCCTGCTTTTGGTAAAGGTCATGGACATCTTATGGTTTACGGTATATCCATCTGTTCAGAGTTTTTCCAACATTTTAGCAATTTCCGTTAATATTTCAGCTCTACAGCTGATGAGTAGAGAACTGTAGAGTTTAGACTCTGAGTTGATCCCGTTGTTTCAAAAGCACCAGTTGGGCTTATACTGTTTGAAATGGAAGAATTTTTTTTCATTGGAGTGGAATTTCCGCTTGGTTTTTGAAAATCTGCTCTGATCCATGATGTGAGAGATAATATACATCCTCTAGAATTGGAGTTGGGTGTATACCAAGCGTTGGCAAACCCAGAAAGGCATGATGACCAAGAGTGTTTATTTAATTTTACCAATAACCTGTATTGATAGACACATTTTTTATACACAGAATCCCACATGGACGTGTAAAGCGTGGGTCCCTATGGCTTTCCTGTGCTCTTATACTGCATAGATCAATCAGATTAACATAGGCTATAAGAGGAATTTCAAAGAACCATTGCAGAGTCACCTTGAACTAAGATAGCACTTTTATATTTCCAGCCACGCTTTTCCTGCCAGTATCAAGCAGTTTACTCCAAATCTTAGGATTCTTTCCTTTACCAAAAAAAAAAAAAAAAAAAAAAATGCACTTTACTTTCCTTTATCTCTGAACCAGCAAGCTTTGTTTTTAATGAAAGGAAATCTTGAAAATTACTCTCTGTTCGTTTTCCTAGCCATGTCTACCGAGCTACGTTTTCCATTGACGTGGATGTCGACGTGGAATTCTGTTCGCTTTCTCTCTTGGAAATTACATTTCTTTTGCTGTTTCTGAAGCACGAAAGGTGTCTGGTGAGCCATCAGGAGGTAGTGAGATTTTTAATGACTTTTAAGATTTCCCTTCACTGCATCCAAGACTCAAATCAAACAGGGAACAGTCGATTCCTTGCTGTTTATTGTAAAGATTCATTAAGCAAATCTAGGGAAATTTTATTGTGGTAACATACCAAGACGTATGTCAGGAATAACATTATTATTATTGCTGCCTGTTCAACCTTTAAAAACACACAGAAACCCACCTTAATCCACTGGCCGCCAGGCAAATACCTAATATGGAAACTGCAGTGGTTTGAATGGTGACTCCTAAAAAAATATGTCCAGGTTCTAAGCCCAGAACTTTTGAAAGTGACTTTATTTGGAAAAAAGATTTTTGCAGATGGAATAAAGTGAAGGATTTTGAAATGAGGTCATCTAGAGGAGGGTGGCCCTATATCCAATGACAGGGTCCTTCTAAGAGACAGAAGAGCAGAGACACAGACACAGAGGAGAAGCCCCGGGAAGACGGAGGCAGAGATGGGAGGGATGCAGCCACAAGCCCAGGGACGCCTGGAGCCCCCAGAAGCTGGAAGAGGCAGGAAGGACCCTCCCCTGGAGCCTCTGGAGGGAGCGCGGCCCTGGGACACCCTGACCTCAGATGTCTGGTCTCCAGGATGGGGGAGGATGGAGGCCTGTGGTTTTAAGCTAACGGTTTGTGGCTGTTTTTGTTACAGCCGCCCCAGGAAATTCATACAAACACTTTCTTGGAACTCCTGCCTTTTAAGTTTTTAGCTACACCCGTCTCCTTGGTCCCTTGATGCAGAAACCTCTCCTGGAAAAGAGGAAGAGGCTGTGTGGCCGTTTTGAAGTGATACTGTGTATGTCTGGGCTTCATCGGCACTTTCCCTAAACCCTTCCAGCTCTGGTGCCAGGGGCCAGATTGAAGGTTTTATCATCTCTTACTTTCCTGATTACAATGCCTTTCTCATTGGCATCTCCTCAAGACCCACTCTTGTTTAGTCCAAAACCCACTTGACAGCCAGGAGGGTGTAACTATATGTCCATCCACCTTGCATCCTATGGAAACTCACTTCTCCCAGCGTTCATTAGGTAGGAACTGTTCAAGTCCTTAGCACACTCTCCTAAGTGTTTGTTGAATGAATATATAAAACAGGTGAAAGATCGGCTTCCGAGCTGCCTTGAATTCATGAGCTAAAATAATGACATCAAAACAGATGTGGTCATAAGTCGTGTAAATAAGAATTCTTTCATCCTCTTGAGCGCTGGAATCACGCATAAGAAATGGTTCTCTGCCTCTGGTTACTTTCTACTCCTCTGGAATCTCAATTCCATGCGATGAAGTTGGGTTTGGAGGTCGTTGTCTGTTCTGAATTGTATTTACTTGCCTCTTTCACAAGGGTTTTTTTCTGGTAGCACTAACAGGACCTCTTTATCATGAATATCATGGCAAGTTCTTTGAAGTACCTGAAAAAGAAAAAAAATGTCATATTGCCAATCGGAAAAAAAAAAAAAAAGAGGTGTGGTCATATTCTAAGAGTTGAAATGTAGAAACAGCTTCTGATTTTTTCTCCTAAAATGCCACCAGGAACCACCACTTCACTACCCTCCTAGAAAAGTATTTTATCTAAGATCGCCGTAATGCTCAGTTCCATGTCACAATGCCATCTCACGATCTAGCTACAGATGCAGCTCTGCTAAGGTAACAAAAACTGCTCTACAGAAATGCTTTTATGAGATTTTGTCCATAGCGCAGTAACACTAAGGAAGGAGTCCTTTGGGTAACATATTTGGGTACCGTGACTATATTAGTTCACCCAAAATATTAAATATTCTTAATTAAATTGGCAATGATTTTCTGGGGGAAAACAAGAGAGATGGTCAGTCCCTGATTTCACCTGGTCACGCATCAGTCCCTTTACCTCTACCTAAAGTTAGGTAATAACTTTATCAGCACAGACGGCAAATGACATTGAATTTACTCTGTTCTTAAAAGGAGCATCGGTTGGCGTTCTTGGAGCCTCAGAGGAGAAATAAAGAGTGAACTTGTTGAATTCATGTCCTCAGAAGGCAAGAGCCAGTTTGAACTAGCACAGGACATGATCAAGGAAACCAACAGGGGTGGCTGGAACCAGTCTCCCCAACAGCTTCTTTCTCATCTCCAGACCAACGGGGTCCTCACATCCAGCCTTCCCTTGGCATTTCCACTTGGGTCTCTTGGTGAGAGCATCTCGAACTCAGAGCCTGCCGTGTGTAGGTTTTTCCCTCGAGCACCATCTTTGCAAACGGCACCAGCATCCCTCCAGTGGCTCAAACAAGAAAACAAGAAGTCATCAGTGATGAGCATCCTGTCCGTTCTTCTGCACCCCAGCCCACAATCAATGACCAGCAAGTCTGGTTACTCCCATTGCCAATATGGGTCTCAAATATACGGGAGACTGCCTCCACCCACACCAGCTGGCTTCCTCAGTCATGGCGTTCTTTGGCCTTTCTTGTGCCGTTACTCCGGGCAGGTCTACCATCCTCGCCCACGTAGCCTACTGTTGCCAGCATGTCCCCTACAGTCCCCGATTTACTGGGTATTACTTCCCACCACCCATTCTCTGCATCTCCCCACATGGCAGCTAGAATGAGTGTCAGGAAAGCCATGCTTTCCTTATAACCCACCAAGGTCTTCCCTTCCCACTTAGAACATCCTATAAACTGCTTACCGTCATCTTCGGGACCTCCACCATCATTCTCCCATTTTACAAAGACCAGCACAGGGTTGCTGGACGCCACACCGCTTTGGCCATAAACCCCAGTTCCTCAACTTTTCCTCCACTCCCGGCTCTTTGCAATGCTGGTTCTGTTCCGTCTCTCAGTGCTCAACCAAAATAAAGCTCTTACCTTAAACATGAAAAGTCTAGGAGCAGGTCTGTGCTTGTCCAGCCCCACCTAAAATTTCAGAGATGCTTTTGATAAGGACCGAAACTTGTCCAAGAGGCCACGTTTCACATTCCAGGAGAGATTCAGCGGGCTGACACCCGCCAGCAGGGAAATGGAAAATGTCCATTGCTCCATCCAGAGGCGGCTGGACTACTACTAAGTGCTCAATTAACGCTCTCCAGCGACGGGATGAATGAGTCAAATACATTGTCATCCATATATTATTACTCAGAAAAATCCAGATATTAAGTCACGCGCTTCGATTATTCCCTCTGTCTGTTTTTCTGTAACGTTTGCTTTCTGCTCTTCCTATCGGAACATCTACATCATACAGCCTATCCCACCAAAGTTATTACCGGTTTGAGAGGCATCTATAAATTATATTCTTTAAGATACACAAGGCAGGTGGGGGTGAACTTCTTGATCCAATTGAAGGTGAAAAGTTGAAAAGCGTGTCTCTCCCTTGCAAATTCCTTTTTTAGGAATGAAGTTTAAACTGACTCGTCATGGTCAGCTGCGTGACCCCAGCAAGCCCCTGGTAGTCCCAGAATCCATGTCAAGATCCCTAAAAAGAAAAAAAAAAAAAACCTTATGCTACCTTTATAGAAATGAAAGAAATGTATACATTTAAAAAAGTTGTTTCAGGATTTTGAGTCAGACAAGTTCGCAGCTATATGAGTGTGCCCCCTAGTGGTTAAATAATCTAATGATTAAAAACACCTATTGGGCTTCCCTGGTGGCGCAGTGGTTGAGAGTCCGCCTGCCGATGCAGGGGACGCGGGGTCGTGCCCCGGTCTGGGGGGATCCCACGTGCCGCGGAGCGGCTGGGCCCGTGAGCCATGGCCGCTGCGCCTGCGCGTCCGGAGCCTGTGCTCCGCAACGGGAGAGGCCACAGCAGTGAGAGGCCCGCGTACCGCAAAAAATAAATAAATTAAAAAAAATAAAAACAAAAAAGACTCCCAAGGACTGCCTGGGAACGTTGCTCAAATATTTAGCCCTCTGTTCATTTCATGTAAAAAATAAAGTATAAACAAGGGGGTGAAGGGGCTGGTGTGTAGTCAGGTGCGTTCACAGGTATGTACTCAGAGGGGACTTGAGAATGAGGCCGAATGGAAGGCTTGCTTTTTCTGCAGCTTTTTATTCAACATGTGACCAGAGGAACTAGAAAGGAAGAGAGAAACAATCAGAGTCCCATTCGCTCTACGATGTGGTCTTAACAGCAGCTTATATAACCTGTTTCCTTCACCCATCAAACAAGAGGTGAGCCGGTCTCAGAAGAGCTTCCTTAGGCTAAACTTCTAAGATTCTGTTCCACCACATCCTGAATCCAAAAGGCATCTTCTCCCAAGGTGATAAAATAAGGATGTGCTGGAACCCCTAGGACAAGAAGCAGCAGAGAAATGCTTCCATCTTTTGTGAACGTATCTTTTTGTCAATGGATCGTTTCCAAGATGGTCGCCCAGGATCTGTTAGGATAGACACATAGATAGCTATAGATAGACGTAGATGATAGATAATAGATATGATAGAAAGATATGATAGATAGATAGACATATAGATAGATAGACATAGATGATGATAGACAGACATGTAGATAGATAATAGATAGATAGACATATAGAAAGATAGACATAGATGATAGATAGATGGATACAGGATACAGGATAGATAGATGGATGGTAGATAGACACATGATAGATAGACAGACATATAGATAGACATATAGATAGATAGGCATAGATGATAGATGGATAGATAGATAGATGATTGATAGATAGATAATAGATAGATAGATACACAAATGTAGATTTTAATGATGGGGGATGCAATGAGTATGAATGAACGTGCGTGTGGATGGGTATCTGGCTGGATGGAAACTCTTGGGTCTCCCACTGGAGTTCATTGAAGTAAGGGATTTATGCAGTAAAACTTGCCACACCTGGAACCGTGGACTCTAGGAGACTCTGACAACCCCAGGATTCATCCCAACATCCTGGAAATTTCTCCTCTGGCACCCCCATGATTCCAGTCTTTCCCAGGTAGTCTCTTTTCTTTCTGTACTTCGTTATTCTCTTCCTATATGTCAAATGCAGATGTCCTTTGGGGTCTAGGATGACCAGGATGCCCAGTCATATTGGTATTTCACATGAAGAACAAATAATTGTTTAGTATAGGTACATCCCCAATATCGCATGAGTCATTACTTGTACCAAAAATGTATTCATTGATTATTCAAAATTCAAATGTCAATGGGCATTTCACTCTGAATCAGATCCTCAGACCTCAATTCTGGGGCGGTGGGGAAGGGGAAAAACAAGATTCAGTACAAAATAAAAGAAGGAACCAATTTTGCCAACACCTTGATCTTGGACCTCTAGTCTCCAAAACTGTGAAAAAATTAAGTTTTGTTATTTAACCCCTTCTCCCCCCGTCGGTGGTCCTTGGTTACGGTAGCCTTAGCAATCTAATACATTGTATGATCCCATTCACATAAAATTTCCAGAATGGGCAAATTCATAGAAACAGAAAGGAGATGAGTGGCTGGGAGGAGGAAAAAGGAGGGAGTGACTCTTAATGGGTCCAGGGTTGCCTTTTGGGGATGATGAAAATGTTTTGGAACTAGACAGAGGTGTTGGTTGTAAAACATGAATTTACTCTAAGCCTCTGCATTGCAGCTTTAAATTGGTTAAAAAGATGAATTTTGCGTCCTGTGTACTTTAGCACAGAAATAAAAACAGCAACAAGTATGGACTCAGGTGACCGGGATCCCCAATGCTCTCTTGATGTTTTGCACCTTTCATAGGGCCCCCTCTGCTGTTCTCAGTGGAAACTGCTCCCCACAAGCCGCCCTCCTCAAAGGCAGAGATGTGGCTGGCAGAGCACCACAGCTACAAGCTACAGGCGGGGCCGTTTCTTTCTTTCCTCCTCTCTTTCTTTTTTCTTTCTTTCCTTCTTCCTTCCTTTCTTTCTTTCTTTCTTTCCTCCTTCTTTCTTTCTTCCCCCCTTCCTTCCTTCCTCTCTCTCTTTCTTCCTATCTTTCTTTCTTGGCGGTTTCTTTACATCCCTGAGTTATTACCGTAGCAGCATAAGTCTCCCACCCCGAGGTCATCCGCCATCAGGAGGACAATGTTGGGTCTGGATTTCCTCGTCACGAACATTCCGTGAAGCCTCCCAAACAAACGGTTCACAGGGCTTCCTCATCCCCAAGGCATTTCTACAACACGGGATCCCTGTGGGTCCTCAAAACACTTTACCTGGCTTGCCTCCGAGGGTTAATGTTAGTGGTCCTGTTTTACGGAACAGGGACTTGGGGAATCACACAGTTTAAAAGACTTTCACAAGGCTGGTAAATTGAAGACCAGGGATGCCATATGAGGTCTCTGACTCAATTTTGTGTGTGTGTGTGTGTGTGTGTGTGCGTGCGATTCCCAGGGCCATCTTCTACTCTTTGACCTCCAGTGGGGCGCTACAATGTAGCATCTCTAGAGGCTGACAACCCGGGAGTGATTGGTGAAGCCCACACCCCAGCCTTTGACCCGTGGTCCATTCTCTCCGCCCCATGACCCCCGGTCAAGACTTGTGCTTTAGGTTTGGTCCCCATTCTATATATCCTAGTTTGCATCTGCTAACCCCACACTCCCACTCCATCCCTCCCCCACCCCCTCCCCCTAGGCAGCCACAAGTCTGTTCTCTGTGTCTGTGAGTCTGTTTCTGTTTTGTAGGTAAGTTTATTTGCGTCATATTTTAGATTCTATATATAAGTGACATCATATGGTATTTGTCTTTCTCTGTCTGACTTACTTCGTTCAGTATGATCCTCTCTAGGTCCATCCATGTTGCTGCAAATTGAAAAGCCATATTTTTTCATCTTCCCAACCCCACCGCTTAACATAGGACATGGCATTTCAGTAAGTGCACACGCAAGGAATCAAGAGATTCCCAAGAGCTCGGTGAGAGAGGCAAGAACCGCTTTTTTAAAAATTCACCAGTCATTGCTGTTCCCACCCAAATTTGATAAGTGCCTCTCCAGTCCACATGGGTAAGAGTCACAACTGGCGGTCTTAGCCGCCAGTGGAAAGTTCTTTCTAACTGGCAAGGAATAAAAGTTATTTGTGAAATAGAAAGAAATAAAAGTTATCTTCAGGATATAAGGGAGCTCCTATTGCCTCAAAATTTGGTACTTAACAATTCCAGATTTTAAGAAATATCAAGAAGGCCCTTTCTACCAAAAGCTGCTTCACTTCCGCCTGTACTCCCACCCCATCCCCCGTAGCCTCCTATATTGTTTTCAAATTTTAACATAGAATTTTATTAAAGATAGGTAAATAATGCATGAGGCTGACACTTCATACACAAATACGATTTTACAAACTAGCGTTATTTTTTAGCTCTCTTTAAAGAGGCGGCCAAAGTCACCTACTTCATTCGAAGCACCCCCCAAAAAACTATTAGATAAGACTGTGTTATTCATGGTTTGCACCTAAGAAAGACGAGGAAACACATTAGCCAACACAAGAACTACATCCGCGAATGGGTGAAATGCTGGTGTACAAAATACTTGTGCAGATGTGCTTGTCCTACATTCCATCAGAGAGAGAGAGAGAGTCACAAACCCCCAGTATTTTGGATGGTGGAGTGGACCTTCCAAACAAGGGGAAAAGCTTGTAACTATGTGAGGTGTTGGATGTGTCAACAAACCTCGATATGGTCACCACGTTGTCATGTTTACAGATAACAGATTATCACCCCGCACAGCTTCAACTTACACAGTGTTATACGTCCATTCTGTCTCAATGAAGCTGGAAAAAACGTTTTAAAAATATTCCAGATTTTAATGTTTTCGTCTTTAGTGGTTAACTCCCAATGACTCAGAAATTGCAACATGGATCAGTCGTGGATATCTCAGTGGGGACTTATATGGAGGTTCCTGTGAATGGGACCTTATTTGGAAATA